CCCACCCCACACCACACCACAACACAACACAACACAACACAACACAACACAACACAACACAACACAACACAACACAACACAACACAACACAACACAACACAACACAACACAACAACACACACACCTACATAGACACAAAACCCAGGATTCCCATATCTTCCTATATGTTTCTGGGTTTTCGTATTCCCCCCCACTTCCCATATTTTCCCTTCTTTTCCTAGGAGTCGACGATTAATTGTGTCTGTGTGCTTTTAACCCTCCTGAGGTTTTTCCTCCTGGGTGCAGCTTTCAGGCGCCCCAGAGCGCTCCTGGGACGGACCCCAAGACTCCCGAAGACGGTCCAAGAGGGCTCCGAGTCGCCGACCGATCGGTCCAAGACGCCCAAAATAGCCTCCAGACGGCCGCAGACGCCCCCAAGACGCTCAAAGGGGCCTCGAAGAAGCGTCTCAAAAGGGCCCAGGAGGCAAACACACATAGATTTCCCCTCGGTTTTGAAGGATTTGGGCGTTCTCATCCGTTTGGCTTCCCGATGCTCAAAGGCGGCCCAAGAGGCTCCAAATATAGCCCCAAGACGGCCCAAGAGGCCTCCAAGAGAGCCCCAAGAGGGCCCAAGAGGGCCCCAACACTGCCCAAGAGGGTCCCAAGACGGCCCAAGAGGGCCCAAAAACGGCCCCAGAGGGCTCCAAGAGGGCCCAAGAGGGGGAACACGAACCACCAAGTCGAGCCTTCCGCCCCAAGAGGCCTTCAGGAGGCCCCACAAGGCTCCCAAGAGAGCTCAGGAGGTCCCGAAGAGGCCCACAAGAGGCGCCAAGAGGCCCCCAAACGGCCGCCACGAGGCTCCAAGAGGCCACGAACGCGCAAGCAACCGCCCGCGATGGCACACTACGGGCGGCGAAATGAGCGAAACGACTCAATGATCTAAAGTCCGGTGCGGATTCTGCTGCGCCTTGGGGCCTGGGGCACACCTTGGGGCCTTGTTCCGCCCCGTCTGGTTCTGCTTTCCCTTTGCCTTAGGTCGGGCCTGTCCCCCTTACAGGGGGATTTTAGGCGAAAAATTGTGAATACTCAAAGCATACTCGCAGAATGGTCAAACATAGTCAAAACATCATCCCCCGACTACTTTTTGACTATTTTGGAATATTTCTCCTGTCGAGGGACAGGCCCGATTTAACCTTTGCCCTCCCCCTCCTCCTCGTCATCCCGCTTCCCGTCCCCCTCCCTGCAGCCTTTTGTACCGCCCTGTCTCCCCTCCCTCTCCATCCCCCGCCGCTCCTTCCCTGTCCGTCCCCACCTCTCGTCGCTCCCTCGTCTCTTTGCTCTCGTCTCTTTCCGCCCACGCTTCCAATCCAACCTCTTTTCCATCCTCTCCCGTAATTGCTGCCCTCCTTGTCCATCTTTATTCCCCCCTTTTCCCTTCCGCTTTCCGTCCCTCTCTCCCCCCCTCGCACACCCCACACCCACCCTTTCGCCCCCGTTTCTCCCCCCACTCCCTGCCAGAAATGGGTGGGGCCGGAAAAAGGAAACAACAAACAGACAAGGTAGGCGCGCACGCGTCTTACCTGACGTCCTACCCATCCCTTCTCTCCATGTTTTACCATGACATGAACTTCCAGTCTATTCGCACACTCGGCTGCCGAACCACGCAATGGTCCCGAGAGGGGACGACATGCATGATAACGCACGGCGTCCTATGGCGTAGGAAAACAAGGCGGAGCGTCGTCGGATCGAGAACACGACCTCTGTTCGACACCAGGCTATGAGGGAAACCGTACATGACGCAAGACGAGGCATGTAAATAAACGGTATGGAAACACCGATTGCGCAACACCAGAGCCAACGCTGGTCGAAAACACGCCAGATTTAGGCAACGCGTTCTGAAAAGGGGAACCAAACATGACGCACAACGAAAAATGCAAAAGGGGACGTTTCGGAACGAGCGGGGGCGCAACATGAAACCCAACGCAATCGTGGGAACACGATTTGGCATATCCGCAACACAAAATGATGTCATCGCTGCAGCGGGGGTACGATTGGAGAAACCGAAGGCCAGAACATGGAGCCAACGTTGTAGCGGAAACGCCATGTTGGAGACACCGAAAATGTTCGGAGTTGAACGGCAAATCTAATCGACCAGCTTTGGGGGCACTGACGCGTAGAAAATCACGACGCGGAGGGGGGCAACCTACGACGTTGGGGTCTTCGGGGAAGAGAGGAGACAATAATCCACAATGTGTAGTTGTGTGGGGGGGATCCAGTGTTCGACGTCGTGACACATACCACAACGTCGTGGCAAGAGCCACGTGCAAACCCGATGATCACGTGCTGATGGAGACCATATGCATCGCAAGCGTCGACCGCTATGTTGCGACATGTCCGAACCAGGGCTGCTCAGCTGCTCATGATTTTCACGGCGCCCAGATCAATAGGGAAAATTGATGGATGGATGGGCGGAGCGCCGGGGGGGCGGCGGGTCTCAGTGCCGCGGCTTTCGCGTGCAGAGGGGGCCGCATACCTGTATATGAAGTGCCCCCCTGCGCGTCTTTGGAGATGGGACGAAGGGCTAGAATTGCCCACCGCAGCCTGGCCCGCCAACGCGAAAGATGCCAAACAACCCGCGCGACAGCGGGCCGTCGGCAGGGGCGCGCAAGCATGATCCAGCCGCTCCCATCCTTCAAAGCCCACGCCTCCTCTAATCTGCCCCCCGTTGGGGCCTTGGGAGGAGGGCGGCGCGGCAGCCTGTGAGCGTCTGATTTAATCTTCTGGGTCTTCTGACTGCCTGCCGCCGCCGCCCGACCCAAATTCTCCAGCGCGGAAGGGTCGACGGCCTGGCGCTGGGGCGCGATGGCCGCGGCAAGGGTTGACTGATGGGGGCGAAGGGGGAGGGGGGCTCGGAGGGGGTGCGTGTGAGAAAACTGACTGGGCTGGGCGGGATGCCCTCTGCCTCCCCCCCTGCGCCTCCTGCCGGCGTCTCTGCTGCTGCGCCCGTTCCGCAGCCTGCGCCTCGGCGGTTGCCCTCGGCTGCCCGCCCTCGACCCTCGCGAGCTGGGGATTCGAGCCCCGGCCCGTTATCGTCTTGGCGCTCTGCTTTTTCATTCCCGCCGTGAAGGCCGACCTCGCCACGTCGATCGCCAGAACATGGGTCTTCGCCCCTCCCCCCCCTTTTCGCGTTCTCCTCGTGCTCTCTGAAATCCCCCCGGCCGTCGAAATTCACTGTCGCCGACGTCGCCTCCCGGTCTTGCGGTGGTTTCTCATTCGCGCGCGAGTCCTCGAGGCGGCGCGTCTTGGACGTCTGGTTAACCATCTGCTGTTCCTTGTCCGCCGCCGCCGTCTTCTGCGGGCCCGCGATGGCGCGCTCGCGATTCGCGCCCTTGGCCCTCCTTCGTCGGCCCCGTCGCCGAGGCGCCGACCTGCGAGCGCGGGGGGGCCATGCCGCGCGCCTTGCCCCTGTCGCGCGTCTCTGGTAATTCGCGATCGCCCCCCCCACCCCCCCCGCTTTTGAGTAACTACCAAGCAATCGGGACCGAACCCACCGCGTCCCCCGACGGTGGTCAGAGTTGGCTGCATCATGTGTCACGGTGTTGCTGTCCTGTAATGCTTTCTGCCGGCGCACAATTTTACGCTTTCGTCGCGCAGCGATGCAACAAATGTTGCGTTTTGTTGCACGTCTGGCAATTGCGTACCCAATTATTTGCGATTAGCGCGCCTCCCGCACACTTGTGGTGAAGTCGTTTTTGCGGAATGTCTGCAGCGCCGCGCGTGTCCCGCCCAAGGTCGGGGCTGACGGTGAAGGCGCGTCTCACGCTAGGTTCAAAAGAGTGCGCGCTGCAAGGTTGGCATGACTGACACTAGCAACCGTCCAAACGCAAGACTCGTCTTCTTTCAGGGCGCAGTTCCACGCATTCGCACAAAAGCGCCACGACGAGCCCCGCACAGACTCACATACTTATTTTTGCGAAGAGGCAGACCCTTTCAGAACGCAGCGCGCATGCAACACAAATCAGCACATCGAGCTCGAATGCGAAGGGTGCCGCAAAA